TTAAAAACTTAGGCATAAAAGCAACCCTTCAAGTTCCTCTTTCTTTACATATATAGTTATGGAAAGTATGACTGTTTTATGAAATTATTCATGTTATCAGTGAAAAAAGAGAGGGACCACAGTGATTATGAGTATCTGACTGCACTATTTACAATTGGTGCATGTGTGCATGTGGTCAGGACACATGTTCATGTCTCTTCCTCCTCGAAACTTCAACACAGACCAGCAAAGAGCTAGAAATGCGGGTAATAACAAGGTCTCGGATTTATGCACAGATGAAATTTGAAGATCCCTCAGAAATTTGAATTTTTGTTTAGTCAGACCGTCTTTAAATTGGATTTTACACTTCACAGTTGCTATGGGCCTAGTGTAAGGCACAAGGCCTAAGTGACAGCACTGGGAGCCTCACGGGAAGGTTCTAGAAGTCTGGGGGGTTGGTGCTGCCTCCCTTGAGTGACAGTGTCACAAACACGTCTGGGACTGGGCTGAGAGAAGGTTCCAGAAGGCCAGGAGCTGGGGCCAACACACAGGGGCACTAGGCACCCCTGCAGATGCCCTCTTCAGCTAACGCTCCTGTTGGTGGGTCTGATGCTGGACTCGGGAGCGGATCTCTGTCCCCAGAGAAGATCCCTGGCCACAAGACACCATCAGACAAGTGGTACCCACAGCGGAACAACTGAAACAACAACACGGGCTTACCTAGCTGCACTGCGTATCGCTTCTGATCCACCTGTAATATCAAAAATGTTTGTTGGATGTGGTCTATCCTTCAGCAGGGCTAATGAATTTAGGCAGACCAATTAACGTATGGAAAATATACCTGCGGCATGATTGCTTTCATTGCAAAATCAAAAATCTCCTTCGACGTCTGAGCATCTGTGGAACATTCCGATAAAGAATATTTCATTACTGACACACAGCAGTGAAGAAAAAAAAGGTATTTTTATCCAAAGTCTGGTATGAATAAAAACCTGGAAGCCCTACACGTTCCATTTATAACGGCAGAGACACTCTTTTTTGCAGAAGTGCTTTTAAATTTAGAATAAAACTATTATCTATATTCACTGACTTTTCTGAGTACCCAAGTTTTGACAGACATGTCTCTGCTTGCTAAGGAAAAGATATCTTTGGATAAAAGCATTCCAGCTTCAATGTGGCTCTCAGTGGCCTACTTTCTGGTTAGAAAATAGCACTTCAGACCTTTACACAGGGAAACCCACTGATGGCTTCATCACAAAGGCAGATTACATGGGTTCATGCAGTTGGATTGGCCTTGTAAAAATAAACCTTAAACCAGCAGGGATTTTTTTTTTCAGAGTACACAGCTAGAAATGTTGCTGCTTATGGGCTGCATAACCATTAAAATATACCAAATTCTATAACCACATTTCACAAAGAAAAGTAACACACCTTCATTGTCTGATTTGGTGAAGTTGTACATGAGCGCAGTCAGTCCCCTCAGGCAGCCTGCTACAATAGTTAATTTGGCTTTCCTTGTAGCTGATGTCATCTAAAAAAGCAGGAATTGAAAAAATATATATATATATATATATGTATCCTCAAGCTAACAAAGATTTGTTCAAGGCTTCCCAGTTCCTGCAACTGTTAGGTAAGCTAATCATGTTTCAAATTAACACAGTTATGCCAACATCCTCAGGACCATCCACTTCTATGAACCTAAGTCTACAGAAACATGAACTGCTCAGAGAGCTGGTATCACTTGGGAAGTTTTTAACTACAAAAGTATGAGAATTCCTTTGACCACCATAAAATGCACGCTCAGCTAATCATAGCAAAATTTAGATAGCACACACTAACCTCTTAAAAACACTGAATGTAAGAAAGTAAACTTAGGCAGAGCTGTGCTGACGTGAGAAAAAAAAATCTGCAGCTAGTACAGCCCAAATAAGAAGTTACCAATGACATAACTTTGCTTGGGCTGCCATAATCATTATGTATTTTTTTAGCTTTTCTGACATTGATTTGCTGTCAATGATGGCCTTCAGTTTTTACTTTGGTAACTTCTCTACTAGAATTAGAGAACACAAACCTGAACAGTCATTAAGAAAGCATTTATGATTGCCCAGATAAACCTCTATAAATGGCACTGGAGTAACAGTCTGCTGGCATACAGCACTACACACACCAAGGCAAAAAGCAAAACAAAGCAAAGCAACCTTGGAGATGGAAAAGAAACTCCAAACATACCTGTGTTTTAAGTTCTCCCAAATAAGCTCGGAATAGCTTTTCAGAGTTGTTAATCATGTCACTAGGCTGGACCTCTCCCAAAACTCCCAAAAGCTCATATATCTTCTCCAAAACTGGAAAACAATTTGTTAATATTAAATATTAATTACTGAAATCATAATCTTGACACTTCCATTGCAATTTGTGAACACGTTTGTCACAGTGGTAACAATTACACATTTCTGTAAGAGCTAATAAAACAAAAAAACAAGAATAAATAAAACAATGGACATTGATAGAAAAAATAAAACCTACCTGTATCAGAAATTTTACTTCTTATAGCGAGCTCTCCATAAAATTTATTAAAGATCTCTCCAACCTTCATTTCTTCCATTAGGTAGGAACCTCGTAAATTTTGGAGCAACTAAAATAAATGAAAAACAAGGACAACTCAGGAAACTTACAAATATCACCATCACAATCGTGTTCAGCCAAAATGAAAATGCAATCCATGTACATAATTTCAGCTTAAATATGCTATTCAGGTTTAAGACAGCTGGTCCAAGGAAGTATTGCCATGAAATCTACAGTAACAAGCAGCTACCTTCCTGTACATGTATTTTTATATGTAAAAAAATCAAGCAGGTTGGAAAATAGACTTAGCAATGGCTGCAGTAGCCTTTTTCATCCTGTATTTCTGTCCCTGCAGCTGTAAGGCCCATCTAAATCACAGAAGAACTGGCTCAAAATAAACAAGACTCCCTTCTGAGTTCTCATAAACAAAATGATGCAGGTGCAAAGTATTTGCAAAACAAGTGTCTCACGCACCCAAGGAAGTGTATTATGAAACTAGTCTCAATAATAAAATTTCTAAAAAATAAACCAAAAAACTTTCTCTACACCGTTCCCATACAGTCTCTAGTATGTTAGAAGCATTTACATAGCATTTGTGAGTAAAAATACAGTTAAGGAAAATCTCCTAATAACTATAAGAGACTGAGAAAAATATTGCTGATTGCCCCCAAAACAAGTATGTCTTGCTATACCAGAATTAGGGATGACATATTCATCCCTAAGCTAAGTGAAATGTTGGAGGAACATCAAAGGCAAATTATTGCTAAGATAAATCTTTTATTAACAGTCAAAATATTAGGCCACGCTATTGTGGACTTTGCATCTTTTGCATGATCATAGGAATGTAACAGTAATCATAGTAAAATAATAGATTTCTGCTAAAAACTAAAAGGGAAAATTGTAAAATGCAACTTACCTTCATCAGAAGTTCCACAGCTGAAATTTTACACTTTGCTGTCCTCTCTTTTGTATAAACAATAATACAAATTTGCTAGATAGAAAATAATAAATAGATAATATCACATACATACAAGGAGAAAGGATCCATGCTGTAACTTTTCTGCCTCTAGATTATTGTTCCCCAAAACAAGTAGTTATTAGCTTGGTAACAGAAATACAGGGGCACGGCCAAGCATTACTAGGCAAAGCCATTTTATTTAGCGATGTACACACCAGAAACATCATTTCTGTAAGCACTACAATTTCCACTGACTTCTGCACAGAACGCACATATAACAACCTTGCAAAAGGAAAATTATTATGTCAATATTTGAAGTTAAACATAACTAACAGAAGTAGAAAATTTAAAATATTATGCTTAAAATATGAATTTAATCCGTATAAACTGAAACAATCTGCAACTATTATCTTCCACTACAGAGATATACTGAAAATTAACTATACCACTGAGGAAACAATTTCGCACTTGCTGCATTCACTACATCTTACATCAATCACTCATCAAATCAATCAAATCACTCATTTCGGCACCGACGAAGAAGTTACAGGTGTATAGGGCAGCCAAGGAGGGGCTGAAGGACAGCTATGACCCTGTCATGGTTTGACACTCAGCCAGGTTGCGGTCCATGAAAATGCCTAAGCAATGGTTTTCCTTTACCCACCTTGACGCTGCAGGCGTAAGGATGAACCTTCTCCCCAATCTTTTCCAGAAAGAGACATAGAAACTTGAGCGCTTCTTCTCTGCAGTCTCTTAACTGAAAAGGAACGTATATAAATGTGTGTATTTAGGGAGCTACGTGTACAGCGTAACACGCTCTCCACACAGAACTGCCGCGGTGTTTCTTATAAAAAGCAGGTTTTTGGGCTCACCTCCTCGACGCCGAGGGCCCTGTGGATGAAGGCGAGCAGGCCACGCTCCGGCGCGAACACGAGGGACACGTGCAGGGCTGCGGGCAGAGCACAGCCACGGTCACGCGGAGCCGGCACCTCCAACACCAGCAAACGCCGTTTTCCTCCCAAAACGAACCGAAAAGCCGGGCCCGGCGGCTGAACGACACGAGCACCCCCGGGGGTCTCTCTTTAAGCGGGGTCAGGGTAGCCCGGGGACACGTTTGTGACCGCAGCCCCCGCGCGTACCAAGGCGCGCGGGGAGGCTCTACGAAAACGCCTATTTGGGGCGAGAGACCAACGTTTTAACTCGCACGAGCGACTGTCCAGAGCGGATTTTAACGCGGCTTTTATTAAAGACAACGCGCGAGAAGGGCGAAACGAGGGGGCCGCGGGACACCAGCCCTCCTCCCCCTCCCGCGGGCT